TGCTGTGCTCTTCTGGATCTACTTCAACAAGCCGGAGCTGCTGTGAGTGTACGTAGGGCCTCGATTTTTGAATGCTAGGATATGCGAGGAGCTGCCATTCCAAAGCAGCATGACAGACAAGCATCCCTGGCAGTGACAAAAGGGCGTTTTCCAAGGCCATTGTATGCCTAATGTAGGCTCTTGATTAATAAAACCCCATATGAAGGGGTTGTTCAATCCAAAAGGGGCTGATTTACTTTTAATCAAGAGTCTACGTTAGCCCTTCAGCGAGAACCAGGCTACTCTTGACCAGTTCTTGAGACAAGGCATGAACATGCGTAAACCAAATGAGTTCACTCTGACGAACACATGGAAGTGGACGGCATGGGCCCTGTGAAGACCATGAAATCCTCTACAAGCAGGTGGTTGCCCATTTCCATGTGATGTGCTCGTCGGAGTGCACCCACTTCAAAAAGAATGACATTGGAGAACTTCGCGGAACATCGCGGAACCCGCTGTATTCATCTCGAGAACATCGGCATATCATGGTCTTCGGACTCCTTCCACGCACCAACCCACCAGATTTGCCCGCCGCATCCCGCGAGGTGCGCCACCCACCGCGCCGCATCCCGGCACTCGCCACGGTGCCCACCGCGCCACGTCGTTGCGCCGCTGCGAAAAAAGCCGCGTTTCCGGACACCGGAAGCACCCGAAGGGCTGAGCCCTGCGACAGGCTGGGGGACGTAGCATTTTTGGGCCTCCTGGGTTAAGGGAAAGTAACACGTGCATCGTCCATCTACGATCATCTACATGAGTGTCAATGACACTCATTGGTTGGCTCTCACTTTGAGTCATCACACTGGGTCAGCAGCTACCCCAGAGCCGCTGGTCAACAGTCTACCACAGAGTTCCAATGAGTTCAGTCTGGCACCCTTCCGGCCGTTCTTACGCACGGCTCCACCGTTCGCGGCACCGAGCTTTAGGCAAGAGTCCTTACGAGCGGACTGCCATGACGAGGCATCAGTGGTGCAGTCGCTGGATCCTCAGAGACCGGTGCCGTCGCGGGCCTGGCGGGGGCGTTGCACTTGGCCGATGGGTAGGTGGAGTTGGAACCATCCAAGGACTTGGGAGTTGTGATGATTTGTACATATTTGTGGCACTTTGTGCCAAGAGCTTTGAGCGCACAAAGGCAAGCTGGGGTGCAGAGTGCAGCACCTTCCATGGGCACACAGATCAGCAAAGAGCTAAAAGCTCGTGGTTTCGGATGATCCTGGAAGCAGAAGAACTTGCGAGGCTGCCGGCATAATTCTTGTCACCCAGTGACTCTCTTCGCCACCCGGTGTCAAGTCCAACGATTCGTCAGACACAACGCCGGTGGAGAAGCACATAAACCAAGCAAGCTCCCCTCAAGTTCAAGTCCAGCATCATCAAGCCAAGAAGGTCCCTTTCTAACTTCAGGAACTTTAGGGCAGTCTTGCTTGAAGATCTATATAACATATTCGTTATTGCTCAGGAATGCTTGGGAGAGAGAGAGAGAGAGAAAGCTCACGATATACCTCAAGCATCCTCAAGTCCTGCATGGTGTAAAGATGTGCTTGCATCAAAAATGCCCCTATACCTGAAGTTAGTTATATACATGTTTTTAGATGATTACATGCCTCTCTCTCTTTTTGAAGAATGACTCGCCTGCATCACCCGCATGAGGCTTCGAGAGCAGCTACAGCGATCAGAGGCGTTTTTTGCACGGGAAAATCGGTGGGTCAACTGAGCAGACGCCAACAGGTCCTCCCACAGACCTTTGTAACCAAAGTCACCAGTGGATGGGGACAGTAGACAGCTCAGCCTGTTTTAGGATCTGACATGCTTTGATTCTTTGTTTTTCCCCGTGGTTCAAAGGGATGTTTGGCTGTAGCTGCTGGCGACCCAGAGTGTAAACCGGCCAT